GTTTTTAGGGGTCTTCGTTATTTTGAAACGATGTTACAGTGTAGCTTATAAAACTATCGGCTACATTAGTGAAATGTAAATCAGGTAAACGTACTCAATTTTACACAACTTTTGGAGCTGATGTGGTTCCTTGAGGTAGAATAGGCCCAGGAAAAGAATAAATATTAGCCTTGTCCCTCCACATTCAAAGAACGCTTCTCTCACACGAGAACACAAAAAGCGAAATATTTTTAACTTCCCACAGGATAAAATCGGGAAAGGAATTGATCAACGGGAATAAAAATTGGGGTCACCAAGCATCCAAGAGAGTAAGTTTCAGGCAAAGTTAGCCCGCCTGGTACCAAGCCCTATACATATATGTACTTGCTTAATACATTTCTTCCTTAGCGCGCGAGTTTGACGTATGACGTGGCGTGGCGTTGCGACATTTCGTGCTCAAAAAGGATGCACAGTAACAATGGGCGATGTTGCCTGTACACACGTTCTTTAGTTAGTCCTTTTTTCTTAAGCTACCTTCCTGTTCTCCTCAATGTCTTCCTCGGTCGGCCACGTTTCCGTTTACCTCCTGGTACCCATGTGAGAGCAATTCGTGGATGTAGGTGACGATTTATTCTAAGGACGTGAGCAAACCGCGTCCATCTTCTTACCATCTACTTGCTTATTGTCTCCAACCCCACTCTCATTCTTGTCTCATATGTAAACAGTGTATATGCTTTTAAAACCTTACTAATCGCGTTGTGTCTCTGGTGTTATGCACGCAGTAAGGAAGAAAAATATAGAGTCTGATTGGGTTTTAGAGTTGGTCAAAATTAATTCTTTGCAGTGAAACGACCCTTTTTTTAACTGATAATCGAGATCTGAGATATGCAAAATTTTCTGATAGTTAGGGTCGCGCCATTATGCAATGCAATGCTCATTATATGCGTTGTATATACAGTCAAACCTGTATATAATGGTCACCCTTGGGAAATCACTGGGTGACTTTTATAAAGGGTGACCGCTATATACAGATCAACTTTACGGCAGATAGAAGGGCGCGATTTTAATTCATAAAGTCGTTTGGTGACCGTAATATACAGGGTGACCGCCACACACGGGACCGTTATATACAGGTTTGACTATAAATTACGTGAAAAACTATCAAGAGCATTGCGTGTCTCCTGCTTTGAAATTAGGCAATCTTCGTTTACAATAATGACATCATTAATATACTCGATTTATTCTCTGATTGAGCCACCAAACAAAATCAACTTTGAATATTGGACAACTGCACCCAAGGAGCTAAAATATTAGCCCATTACCCAGTTCGACAATTTTGGTTACATGTTAGTGCCATTCTGAAGGACTAAAAATGTTCATCGTTAAGTAACAACGGGTTTAAATCAGTAGTATTTCTTCCAAACTTAACAAATAGCATAAATATACTATATGGCCTCTGGAACCACACTAATCTCCTCAAATTCAACCCCTAAAGTCTGTATACTAGCCAAGTGGCCCATGAGGCTAGAGCTTATCTGGCTTTCTGTTGCGCGCATAAAGCGACTAGGAGTATTTCTAACCCTCTCTGGATGGGATGCTAATCCATCGCACGGTTATCCCCAGCATTAAGTTGGCCGGTACCCATTTATACACCTGGCTGGAGAGAGGCACTGTGAGAGTAAAGAACACAACACAATGTCCCCAACCAGAGCTCGAACCCGGACCACTCGATCCGGAGATGAGCGCACTAACCGTAAGGCCAGCGCGCCTCCCACAAATTCAACCCCTCCCCCTACGTTTTTGTACGTTCGGCTGAGCCAGACTCGAGTGTGCTTAGTGTGTCTTTGTTCTGGTGATGTGTCTGCTGACTGGAAAGTTTGACAGAGAAATTTTCCTATCAAAGGTTTTCGCTAATCCTGCTATGAAACAGATCAAGGGGACATATTTCAGTAACATCCGTACATTTTTGAGTTTTTAATTAATTCAAATTAAATTTTAAGTAAATGAAGGAGATTGATAAACTGCTTAGATTCACTATTCGCCTTTTTCAATTTGCGCGTTGCAACAATAAACAAATAATTTTGATTCGGGGGGTTTGGACGAAATGTCAGCTTCATCCTGAATCGCTGAAAGTGTCCAGTGGTAACGGTTATTTTTTTTTTTTCAGTAGTAAGATTTATTAAGTATTGTAGAGGGATGAAATGAATACGTTGTTGATGTGGAAACAACTGTAGAATGTTTCATAATTAGCGTTTTGTTAAAATGAATGCATTAAAGATTACAAGAGCCGAGGTAAAAGCTTATGACAGCTCGAAACAGCTGTGGAAACAAAACCCAAGCACGCTGTTTCCACAGCTTAAACTCGGCTTGATATCTGCA